CCTGGAAAGATTTATATATGGTATGTCTGTATTATCTTAACAGACTCTGAACTGAATGAAAAGCATGTAGTGTGTTTTAGTTTTGAAAGTTTTTGTTTTCCATTTTGAACTCGGTGCAGCTGAGGGTGCGGAGAATGGTCTCGAGTTCACTATTGTGAGACCTTTCAACTGGATTGGGCCAAGGATGGACTTTATTCCTGGCGTTGATGGTCCCAGTGAGGGTGTGCCCAGAGTTTTGGCATGCTTCAGCAATAATCTTCTTCGTCGTGAGCCTTTGAAGCTTGTTGATGGCGGGCAATCTCAACGAACATTCGTGTACATCAAAGATGCTATTGAAGCTGTTCTTTTGATGATTGTATGTTTCCTTTTTAACCCTACTCCCTTTTACTTGGTCACGGTTAGCTAAATATTTTTCATTACAGGAGAATCCTGATCGAGCAAATGGCCACACCTTTAATGTTGGGAATCCTAACAATGAAGTCACAGTCAAGCAACTTGCAGAAATTATGACACAGGTGCGTGATTCAATCAGTAGTAATCTACAAATAAACTTACCAGGCTTTTTCCTGCAATTTTAACCATGAATTGCATCTTCCAGGTGTACTCCAAGGTATCTGGGGAGCCTCCACTTGAGGTTCCAACCATTGATGTCAGCTCAGAGGAGTTTTACGGTGAAGGATATGATGATAGCGACAAAAGGATTCCGGACATGACAATAATCAATAGACAATTGGGTATTTGCATTTTTGTGACATTTCCTATAAATCTTTATATATAGGCGAAGACAATTTTTCAGGGGATCATTTTGTTTTGTTTTGTAGGTTGGAATCCGAAGACATCTCTGCACGACCTGCTGGATTCGACGATGACTTACCAGCACAAGACTTACGCAGAAGCCATTAAGAAGGTAATGACGAAACCTACTGCAACCACTTAGAAGATTTACATGCTAGGCTTGTGTGGCAAAGTCTAAATGGACGTTTTGGTTGGTGCACCTATTGAAATCTTGTGAGCAAACATAAATATTAATTTCTTTCAATTAATTTTCATTTGTTTACTTTTTTAGTTGTCTTCATTCGAATACTATATTTTGTAGCTATAGAATGGCTTTTTAAAGACATGGAAATTAGTGTTGTCATGTGGCGTGAGCTAGCAGTGTACTCTCCTGCCAAGGAATTACAATTTTCATATATTGGAGTTCGATTGGTATTCTCTAGTTATTTTGTAGCTATAGGAGTCCTTTAAATGAGAAAATATTAGGTCAGGACTCTAGGTGCATCTGGAATCCTATAGGGGAGCGACACGTGCGTGTAAAGTGAACCAATCACATTGTATTGTGATGGATCCACTTGACACGTGGCGCCTTCTTATTGGACTACGGATCATAAATAAACCAGTTGACTGTGGTCTCTGAAACATCAAAAAATTTCAGATGCAGGCAATAGAAACTTTAAGGAAGATTTATTTGCATGCCACACAAGTCTCATGTATTTACATATCTAACAAATAAGCTTCTATTTTTACATTCATACGACCTTACCTAGGCTGGAGAAGAATTATGCTATTTTTTATGTGATATGTATGATTTTGGGTCATATAAATGTAAAAAAAAAAAAAGTTTAGGTGTTATACACATGGATTGAGTGGTATATGCATGTAAATGTCCCAAATTTTTAACAAATATTAAATCAATTATTTTTAAAAAAATATGATTGAGATTATTTTTAAAAAGTAAGTGTGCCTGGCTACTAAAAAAAAATAAATTGAATAAAAGCCAATTTTGAATAAATAGAAATAAGTAAATATTATCTCATTTCCGCTCCATTCCGCCCCGCTGGCTCGCTCCATTCCGCCCCGCTGGCTCGCTTCGTTCCGCTCTGGCATCTGTCCCTTATCTGGTATATGAGCCATACCTAACATGTTGACTGGCATATTTTGTTCTAGGGAGCTCTTACTAATGATGATCAAATTTTTAACGATAGGATTATGAAAGAAAAAGGATTATAAAAGAAAAAGTTGTTTAGTCTCATATTTGCTTTGTTAGAAAACTCATGTTATAATGATATTTGAATAGCCAAATTGAACAAAACTAGAAATTTTGAGCAAGATTTATAAATGAGTTGAACACAAACACACATATGTGCAATCACATTTGACTTTTGAAGCTCGGAATAATTGCATAATTAAATAGTTGATAATCTATTTTGGATTTTGGTTAACTTGACTACTATCATCATGTTTGAGCAAAAATTAAATACATGATTATTATTGATGTCAAGTTTGAATGAACCTAGTTAACTAAAAAATTAACTGAATTAATTTTCAGTTTATCTTAAGTCAATTTAAGTTAAGCGAATTGAGTTAGATAGGTCATATTGTGATTAATTAGACCGTGTTAACTCAAAAATTAAATGATACGTATAATGAATAAGATGAATATGGCTCAAGTTAGGCTAGTTCGGCCTGAGTTTAGATTAAATGTTTTGATTGACAAAATAATAAGTTGGGCTTAGATCAATTAAATTCAGATTTGTTCAACTTTAGTTAGACCCAAACCTGATCTATTAACCTCAATTGACACTTCTAGTCGACAAGTCACAAAAATTATATCCAACCAATCATATATTTTAACGCATTCTTTTGTATAAAATTTCAAAATTTAATTCAAGTTCATCTCGCATTTTTTTTTAAATTAAATTTAGTCAATTTAAATGTCTTAAAATGTATCCCATGACCAATTCAATCCCAATGAACTTAAATCAAGTATTTGAATTGCTGTTGGAAATTTCAAAACATTATTAAAGATCCAAGTGATCAACATGCTTCATCAATGAAGCATTTCGAGATTTTGACCAAATTTATCAAAATACCCTCAAACGTTTGAAAGAAAAGATTCTTTTCTCCTCTTTTCGGTTATTTGAGAGCACGGATCTCTTCTTTTTCTTCTCTATTTGGTTGATTAGTGGAATATATCATTCAATAAAATCCATGGTGAATTCAAATCCTCACTTCTTCAATTAAATGCATAGATGTATTATTTGATACACATTTTTGTTTAGAATTCATTTAACATGATTTCATTTCCTCCTAAATTCCGTTAGAAGCTGTCGAAACCAAGCTAACTGAATAAAATTTTCTAAATTGTTATCTCGTGTTATTGTTAGTTCGACATTTGGAAATCTAAATGTATATCATATGATCTCCGACATATTTGCATATTAAACAAGTGAATTCCAATGGCTTTATAATTTGTTCATACATAAACTGCTCAGTTGGTAGATATCTTTGGTGTGACATGAAATTCTAGTTGGTAGAAATATGAAAAGTAAAGTTTATATACTATATGCGAATGTATTGGGTACATTTCTTATGAGACTTCATGTTCTACATTTTTGTTCTGAATTGGTTGATTTGATTATATGAAAGTGGTATTAATGAGATTCTTGTTCGTGAGATGGAAATTTGGAAGATGCTTATTTAATCTTTCATACCATAATAAACAAAATATTGATGTGTTAACATTTACCATAATAATTTATGGCTATGATGAGTTTTTGAGGGGAAAAAAACAAACCTTACATACATATAGGGGTGTAAACGAACCGAAAACGAATGTTTGAAAGTAATTGTGTTTGAAATAGACTCGTGTTCGAAATTGTTCGTTCAAATTGTTCGTGTTCGGTTCAATTTGTTCGAAATAAATTTGAATTGTTCAAATCATTCAAATTGTTTATTTTGTTCGAAATGTTCGAAAATATTAAGATTTCTTTGCATTTTTTTAATTGTTAAAGAGAAAAATTTAAATAATATTTCTCTAGTTATCAAGAACAATAAATAACATTTGAAAGTGAATTAGAACTTCAACAAAAGCATTCTTTTATCATTACATCCAAATATTCAAGAAAATAATCTTCTAGTAATTTATAATGAGCACCAATGATGAGTTGTTGACCAATTGAAAACCGGATAACTAACATCCTTTAATCATTACATGATTTACATTCAAATCGACACAAAATTATTGGCAAAACAGACTCTCAGTGCTAAATTAGTCAAGCAAGAATATCTAAATCAGTCAGCAACTGCATCTTGTTTTGGTGGATCGGTATACGTGTTGATGAAGTATCTCTCAACATTTCTAAAAAAATTCTATGACTAGGTAGGCAGTATGTCACGGACAAATAGTCCCACATCGGCTAGGTATAAGGCCGAAAAACAGTATTTAAGTCCTGGGCTGCCCACCTCTCTTAAGGGCTCTTTTGGGAGGTGATAGGTAGCTGACATCCATTGATCTCTTTTATCACAAAATTTCTGCGATTACAAAAGAAAATCTTCAGTGAAGCAAACAATGCAAAACACTATTTACAAAAATATATTTGCTATCTCATAATGAACAACTAAATAGTGCAAAAATTCAGTATATTAGATGTAAAAATCTGTTAGCAAAATCCACCGTAGAATATTTACATGTCTAATACTTAAATGTTTAGATGTCTAACACTTAAATATTCATATTTTTATATCCATGCCACTCAAAACTTGAACATTACAACAAATATACCAGTATCACTATTGTTTGAAAGTGAAATACACCTTTCAATGCATAAGTTATACCATCAAGTTGTTAAATATCAACTTTGGTGTTGCAAATGTTAATATATAAGAACTGCAAGATATGCATGTATCCAACATCTAATTATTGGGTGCGGAGAGCGCACGCAGGCTGCTGTCATGCAGCCGCGGTGTGCGGCTGTGATCGGAGAGCGTGCACAGCTCTGCGGGCGCTCTCCGCACCTAATAATCGCTCGTATCCAACAGAAAGCAACAAAAATTAGACATAGTATTAGAAAGCTAAAAAGACAAATTTTTGAACTTAACATACCTAAGATCTGGCCTTCTCTCAAAAACTATAGCAAATGTTTTGGCCATGGAAATATCATCACTAATTTCCTGCCTCAATTTCTCAGCCTGCAGTTATAAATGAATCAGAGCCTTATTCTGATTTGCGGTCAGTAAACAGTAAACAATAAATACAAAACAAGGCATTACCTCTTTGAGTATGCTCTCGAATACCACCTACATGTTTTACTAGTTTTTGTGGAACTTGATTTCCATCCGTATCATTGGTAGGGGTGTAAATGAGCCGAACACGTCGGCTTGTTTATATTTCGAGTTTAAAAAGTGCTCGTGTTCGGCTCATTTGCTTAGCAAACCGAACACGAGCCGTTCACGAACAAAGAATTGTTTTGACAATCCTAATCAGGTAGCCAGAAGATGTCATAGCTATAAGATGTTAATGATTTGAGCAAGATTTAAAACATCATTTGAATCTAAATTAATAATTTTTATTCCATTTTCTTCATCAATACTTTTAATTGATCTTTGTAGCCTTGTAGTTAATTAAAATTTTTAAAAATACTTATCAACAAAAAAAAAATACATATATAATTGATTAGTAATATTTCGAGCCAAAACGAGCCGAACAAGTATATACTCGTGTTGTTCATGTTCGGCTCGTTAACTTAGTGAACGAGTCAAACACGAGCTTCTTAACACGTAGCCATAAGATGTTCATGTTCATGTTCGGCTCGTTAACTGATTTCAAGGAAGCACAATATGCACATAGAAGCACATAGGTGCGTCGCTGCAGAACAAAAATATAAATAATCTTCTATCACTAAATGCATCAATTTGTTGGAGTTTATAGTAACAGTTTAGTGGAAAATTTACATACATACCACACAATTTTTATGAATTTAGATGCCTAACACCTAAACTCTCATGTTTACACCTTATAATATCTTGGAATCATAAACTTATGGAAGAAAATGTGTTTTGAACTTTTAAAAAGATAGCGATGGAAGTATTATTTTGTGTTGTTAAAGATTTAAGTGGTATACTTGTAAATACAGAGTTTAGGTATCAGATATGTAAATACATACGAATAACGTGGTAATGTTAAATGCCCGTAGTTTAATTAATACCTTTCCGAATCATGATCAAACAAAATTGAGTCATCACCACTAGTTCGATAGAGTGGAAGTCCTAATCTCCCAATTTTAGGAGCCAGGGGATTATTTTGGCTCGTGTTCGGCTCGTTAAGAAGCTCGTGTTCGGCTCGTTAACTTATC